CGTGACTGCCATCGGAGGGAGGGTGCGGGGGGAGGGGGGAGGGGTGTAGGGTGGGGGCGAGGTGTCAGAACAATGTGGGCAACTACTGCGGCAGTTACTTACAAAGGCATTGCTAACTCTCTCCTACAACGTTTTTATTTCATTTTATTTTTTTTAGTAACAGCTTAGAATGAGCTATAATTCACCTACTATCAAATTCACCCTTTCAAAGCGTAACTTCGGTGACTTTTAGTATAGTCACAGGGTTGTGCAACCCACACCACCATCTGATATGAGAACATTTTCATCCCTCCAAGGAAAAACCTTGCGCCCTTTAGCAGTCACTCCCCATTCCCCCTTCTCCCAGCCCTGGGACACTATGAATCTCTTTTCTGTCTCTCCGGATTTACCTATGCTGGACATCTCATATAAATAGAATCACACAATATATGACCTTTTGGGTGTCTGGCTTCTTTCACTTAGCATCATGTTTTCAAGGTACATCCATGCCATCACATATATCAGTACTTTATTTCTTTTTTATGGCTAAATAATATTCCATTCTGTGGCTCTCCTACATTTTACTCCTCTACTCATCAACGGATGGACATTGGGGTTGTTTCCACTTTGTGGCTATTATGAATAACGCGACTATGAACATTCAAGTACATACAAGTCCTTGTGTGGACACATGTTTTCAGTTATCTTGAGTATATACGCAGGAGTGAAATGGTTGGGTCCTATGGTAACTCTACATTTAAACTTTTTTTTTTTAAGTTTATTTTTGAGAGAGAGAGAGAGAGAGAGAGAGAGACAGCGAGCAAGCCTGAGCAGGAGAAGGGCAGAGAGAGAGGGAGAGAGAGAATCCTAAGCAGGCTCCAAGCTGTCAGAGCAGAGCCCGACGTGAGCCTCAACCCACAGACCGTGAGATCATGCATGACCTGAGCCGAAATCAAGAGTCAGATGTTCAGCCGACTGAGCCACCCAGGTGTCCTTACATTTAACCTTTTGAGGAACTGCCAGACTGTTTTCTAAAGTGGCTGTGCCATTTTACATTCCCACCGGCAATGTACGAGGGTTCCGGTGTCCCCACATCCTCACCACCACTTGTTATTTTCCATTTGATCACGGCCATTCTAGTGGTATAAAATGGTCTCTCACTGTGCTTTTGATTTGCATTTCCCTGATGACTAATGATGTTGAGCATCTTTTCATGTGTTCATTGCCCACGTGTGTATCTTCTTTGGAGAAACATCTATGCAAATCCCTTCCCCATCTCAGTTGGGTTAGTCTTTTTTATCATCTGTAGTTTCTTTGCAACTTCGTGTAAATCTATAATTATTTCATAATTTAAAGTGTTATCAAAACAGGCGGTGCCCGGGTGGCTCAGTCTGTTGGGCGACCAACTCTTGATTTCAGCCCAGTCAGTTAAGCCTCTGACTCTTGATAGGTCATGGGATCGATCCCCACATTGGGCTCCTCACTGAGCGTGCAGCCTGCTTAATATTCTCTCTCTCTCTCTCTCTCTCTCTCTCT